TCTAAAAGTCAGACATCTGTAATCAAGCTATCAGCTTTGACTGTCTTAATACACAAACTCATCTCTGGAGTCACCTTTTTCTCTCCATTGACTATAAAGGGCAGGTTTGGAAATCTCATTTTTAAATGCCTGAGTTAGGATGAATGAATCCCATGAACAGATATTTTGTGAATTTCTTATTATTTCTTCCTTTGTAACATTTTTCTATAAGATTATTTTAGGGTTTTCATGTGTCATAGGTACATACACAGTGCTCCTTTTGCCCTTCTGCATCACTGCTTTTGCCATCCACATTTTACCCCTGCTCCCAGGCTAGCATCCTGTTTTTTCCTTGCTGCCATCTCTTCACCCATCAACACCCAACCCACAGAAGTACTGGGGTGTGTTTGTGATGAGGGGTTTTGGTTTCTGCCTAATCCTCCCCAGAAGACTCTGCGTTGCCACATGAGAATCAGAAAGTGAAAATTTTTGGTCTCCAAAGCTGAAAGAAACTGAAAGAGTGATACAAACCACAGGGAACCTGACAGCTCTCAGCTGGTGTTTGTAGCAGGGTGATGCTTCATTGGTGACAAGGAGGAGACCCTTCTGTCACCTAAAGTGTTACCTGCTCTGCATGCACAGGGAATGTGGCACTGGGTCTGGTGGAGGTAATATAACCAAATCCCATTCCAACTTTTTCAGCTGAAGTGGACAATATTAAAAAAACTGTCAATCCTCGTGAGGGATTAATGGATTGAACCCGATTATCTCCAAAATTCAAGAATTGCCATAAGCCAGCATTTGGAATGTTGCGTAGAATGGCTCAAGGAAATAGTTTAGAATGGACAATGTACATCCAGTGTCCTTGGGGGGATTTGGTAGCACAGTCAATCTCTTGTGTTCTTACCTTTTCTCACATTTTTCCCCATAAAAGTGGTACTTCTTACATGTCCCTGGACAAGGGTTGTGTTGTTCACATGAGAGATGGGCCATGTTCCTTAAAGGAGAGCTGCACAGCAGAGGTACTTTAGGATCACTTCTGGGACACAGGGGAGGGACAGAAGAAGCAGCTGTTGCCTCTTCTGGGAACCTCAAATCTTTGGTCTGGTCTGGGTCAGTTTTTTAACCATCACTTGAGGCTCACAGTCATTCGAACACTTGGCAAAGGTGAGATGTGGCTGCCCCATCCCTGGAAGTGTTCAAGGCCAGGTTCAATGGCACTTTGAGCAAATTGATCTAGTAGAAGGTGTCCTTGCTCATGGCAGAGGGTTGGAACGAGATGATCCCTAAGATCCCTTCCAACCCAAACCATTCTGTGATTCTGCCTATAAAGATTCCATGAACACACTCGGCACAGCAGGAAGGTGAGACATGCATGTCTCAGCATCCTGGTTGTTGCGAAGTGTGCTGGCCTTGAGGTGTCTCTGTCTCTGTCCTTGCTCACATCAGCAGAGTACCTCCCAAAAACCACAGGTGGCACACAGGTCAATGAGGGTGGAATGTCCAGTATCCAGGCATTTGCAGATCCTGCTGTGGCCATGGGATCTTTGCTGCCCTCGAAGGACAACAGTCTGCAACAGCATATATCTCCTTGATCTACATGTCCAAGCAACATTTCTCTTTCCTAGATTTTGTTTTCTTATGTCCATTTGGCTTCTGCTGCTGTGACTTCTTCTGTCCTGAAGACCTGCAGTGCTCAATCTCCTTAGTGTCTCTTTGGCTATTCACTTTGTTTTTCCATGGGGACTGAAGACTCAGGATAAGACTTTGGTGGTCCCTCATTTTTCAGTAGAATCACAGAATAATTAGGTTGGCAAAGACCACCAAGATCATTGAGTCTGACCTGTGACTGATCACCTTGTCAACTAGAGCAGAGCACTGAGTGCCAAGCATTAAAGTGGAAACACCACTCTCCTCCTCTGGTTCAAAATCCCCTTTTTCCAGTACTGCAGTCACAAGAGGTTTTTCCATTTCCCTGCAGTTGCTCAGCTACCTCCCAGCTTGCCCTGCTTTGAGCACGAGGTTGGACTGCTGCCTGTAGCATCTCATAGAAAGAAAACTGAGGTGGAAATCAGGAGAACATCCGTGGGGAGAAGCCAGATCTGGAGTTTGGAACAATTTCTCTAGGAAAGTGCTGCAAGTCCTTCTTCTTTTCAAACATGACATGGAAAGCTTACCAGAAGTATTTTGTCTAGGAACCTCTGACCTCCCAACTGGGAGAAGACTGGAGGATCCAGTAGGATTTTCTACAGGTTGAAGAAATGGAGGTTTGTCTTACAGAACAGACCCCATGGGAGCTGGATCAATGAGCAACAGAGCTCCTTCAACATCACTCACAGCCCTTTTCCATCCAGGAATTGCACAGCTCTGGACAACATGTGGATACTGCCCACGCTGACATGAAAGGCAGAGCAGTGCCAGTTATTAAGGGCTGGAGCATAAATTTTATTAAAAAAGTAGTGAAATGGAAAACCATGAGCTTGTCGATCCTAGGGTGTGAGGACAAGTCCATGGCTTCTTCTGCTTATTTCTGGTTATAACAACCAACATGTTGTTACAGTATTCCTGGACTTCTGGAAGTGCAGGAAAATTAGTCCAGTTTAGTTGTGAATGAATGAGCAGTGGAAACATTCCCCTCCTCTGCCAGCTGTATCCCACCAGCACAAAAACGACTCCAGGCCATGACCTGCTCTGTTCAAGTTCAGTGTCCCTCTCCATTTGCCTTCCAGGGGAGCAAGAGCCCTTCACCTGAAATCCTCCCGTGATGTTGTGGCCGCTGCTGCTGCAGGTCTGGGCGAGCTGCCTCTGGCTGGGACACGGCGAGGTGGTGAATTCCTTTGAAAGTTCATGTCCTTAGTTTTTCTGTGGCAATACTCCCCAAATGAAGCCCTGGAGCCTCAGAACCCAGCCTGGATCTGCCAGAGCTACCACAACAGGTATTCCTATGCCACCCTGTATGACATAAACAGGCATATTCCTGTGTACTCTGCTCACATCTACAAGCCTGGAACTGGCAAGAGACCTCAAACATGGTGGGTTGAGCCCCAGGTAAGTGTCCTCTCTTACAGCATGTCACCCTCCAGTCATTAAAACATGAATTGCAGCATTTAACTAAACACCTCTATTTCCTCCCACCCCTCCTACACAGACACGCAAAAGGACCCACTGGATGGGATTCATCTCATGTAACTTCAAACACCATCACCACAACACATCTCCCTGTGTATGGGGTTAGAGAAGGCAAACACTGGTGTTCCAGGAGTGTGGTACACCTGTAGCAGCCACAAGTGGAATCAGAGAATGGGGGTGGGAGGATCTGGGGAGAGCACTGGGCAGATGTAGGGCGTGGAGAAGACAGTAGGGAAGAGAACCAGATGTGACAGGGGAAAGGTCTCACCAAAATCACCTTTCAAACCTGGAAGTGGAAAATGCTCATCGTCTCATGCATCCACCCATACCTCCACCACAGGCTGCAGGCTGGATCACAAAGGTGACAAGTCAAAATGAGAACAGCAGGATTCTGAACTTCCTTTTTTTAAAAGCTCTCGTTTATCCAGGAGGGTCAATTTCTCTACAACTCATTCATTTTCATACACTGATATGACAAAAAAAAAAGTGTGCTTGACACTCCGAGACTTCTGCTCCAGGGAAACCTTCTCCATTAGTCCCATCCCGAATACTAACACTTTTTCCTCTTCTTTACCTGTCAAGCTGATGGGTTCAAATTATCCCAAAACTGTGGGAAAACGATCGACCCTCTTACATGGTTACAATGTCAGCTTAGAGAAACTCAGCGAGAGCCAGGCTGTCCTGCAAGACTACGGGAACCTGATTGATTTGAGCCGGGGCCATTTGAACTCCAATGGCCATCACCTCGAGCACAACAGCAGGATGGCTACCTTCACCCTCGCCAACATAGTGCCACGGGGTGAGAAACCCAACAGCAGTCCCTGGAAAAATTACAGCAGCAAATGATGATCAGGAAGACCCAGGGCTGTACCACCACCTACATCATTGTGGGTGCTGTGCCTGGAAACATTGCCAAGGAATATGCCTGGGAATATTGCCAAGGCAGAGTTAATAAAACCAGCTACACCTGGTCGAGTGCCTGCTGCGAGAAGAATCCCAAGGACATGGAACCTTGGGTGGTCATTGCCGAGAGTGACAAGAGCCAGGTTCTGGAACTCAAGATGGGCCAGCTGAAAGCCATGTTGACATGGCTCTGTGGGAGGGGACAGGTGTCTCTGTTCCACAGCACCTGTCTCTGGGAATAAGCCTCACATCCTGGGTGTAAAAGGCTCGGGGAGTTTTGCTGAATGTCCTAGAATCAGAGAATCACAGAATGGTTTGGTTTCGAATGGACTTTAAAGATCATTGAGTTACAACACCCCTGCCACGGGCATCCTCTAGACCAGGTTGCTCAAAGTCACATCCAACCTGGCTTTGAACACTTCCAGGAATGAGGCAGCCACAACCTCTCTGGGCAACCCGCCCTAACCTCACTACAACCTCCTTTCAGGTAGTTGTAAAGTGCAATGAAATCCCCCCGAGCCTCCTCTTCTCTAGACTAAAATCTAATCCTAATATCTAATCTAAACCTGCCATCTGTCAATTTAAAGGAGTTCTCCCTTGCCCTGTCGCTCCAAGCCCACGTCAAAAGTTCCTCTCCAGCTCTCTTGTAGCACTTGCAGGTAGTGGGAGGGGCTCTACGGTGTCCCAGAGCATTCCCAGCCTTAGGCTGGCAGCATGACTAAGTGTTGTTACAAAACATTTGCAATTAGGCAAGGAAAAATATGTAGCCTGACGATACTAATTATATTCTGAGAGGCTGTAGAACAGCAGACTGTGAACATCTGAGTGTACTCAGAGGCAGGCTGGTCAGTCTAATGCCACCAGAGATGTTCTGCTGGGTACAGAGACACATGTAGGTTCTGCTGCAGCAGCAGCTGCAGCCCGTGGGGAATGAGGAAATGGACAGGGAAGTCACCAGACCCAGTTAACTGCTCCTGACACGTGATGCTGCAAGTCAATAAGGCTGTGAAATATCCTGAGGAACTTGCAAATAGCAACTGCCTCCCCATTTCTGGGCAGGCATGAACAAATCTCCCCTGAGCAACAACAGAAAACTTCTCTTTTCCGTGGAATTCCCTGTTTATCAAAAGGGGCAGATTTACAACCGGGCATATATTGCAGTGGGACTCCTGAGGGATCAGCCAACTCTTTCTCCAGGGAGAAGAGGCAAGGAGCAGCTCAGCTGCCTGTTCTGAGACTCTGCTTCGAGGTAAGCTCTTGCTCCTTGCTCAGCATTGACTCCAATATTTCAGGTGTTGCCTTAGCTCTGGAATAAAGAGATCAGACAAAGCATAGGCTGGAGTTGCTGAGCTCCACCATCTGCCTTCCATGGAGAAATCAGAGGTTATGCATGCACTGAATTGTGCAGCTCTTTAACATTTTCTGTTAAGGAGGCCAAGGACAGAAGGATCGATTTGGGAGAGAAATTCAAGCCAAGTCACCTGGAAAATTCACACCATAGCGTTGACTAAGAATGAGGAGGGGTGAGGTGTGGTGCAGAGCTTATTGAGTACCAAAATTCCACCCATGACCTTTCAAAAGACCTCTGGACAAACACAGGTGCTGGTTGCACTCCTGAATAAACTTACTCTAAACCCTATGTGGGAAATCTCACAACCTTCCTTCCAGGGGGATCATATATAAACAGCCAGTCTCAGATTGCAGCAGAGACATTTCAGCCTTCTACCACTCTGGGGCTGTGAGCAGAGTCCTGAGCCAATATTTTCCACAGTAAGTTGGTTTTTATCTATCTGATATTGAGTGAGATATATTTTAAGCTCCTGCAGGGGGTGTCGCAACAGGACTTTTCAGGAACTTCTCTCTTGATTAGGGCAGAGATGGTCCTGCTCTGCAGAGCACTGTAAAAAGCCACTGCTTGTGATTTCTGTTCTCTGTTTCTGACCAGCTCCTTGGTCATCACATTCCTGATCCAGGACTTGTAGGGAGATAAAGGACCAGATGTCTTGGGTGAGAACAAGGGTATATGTAGCTCAATATCCCATTGTCAGCTGAGAGCCAGGACAATCTTGGGTTCAGTATAGCACCTGAATGGAAGAGCTGCATATCTGTGTGAACGTGGATGGGGGCAGAGACTTGTAGGAAGTGCAGCATTGCTGTTATTTCCCTGACAAATGCCCCATGAACTAATTGCAGGTGGCTGAGCAGAGTCCGTGCCCAGCTGCAGGTCTCTGTTGTGGGAAGACCCTCAGAGCAGAAGAAAGCAAAATTGGCATTAAGCTGAGCCAGGGGAGGTCTAGGTGAGGTATCAGAAAAAGGTCTTTCACCGAGAGGGTGGTTGGGCACTGAACAGGCTCCCCGGGGCAGTGATCACAGCACCAAGCCTGACAGAGCTCAAGAAGTGCTTTGACAACACTCTCAGGCACACGATGGGATTGTTGCGGTGTCCTGCACAGGGCCATGAGTTGGGCTCGATGATCCTGATGGGTCCCTTCCAACTCAGTATATTCTATGATTTTATGATTCTATGATAACACTTTTTATCAATAAAACTGTGTGGCAGGTTAAGGTTCAAGGGTGGTCAGTGATAGTATCTGACTGCAAAACTATATTCAAAGCAACATGCCAACAAGCTCTGATCCCCCCCAAAAACTGGCTGGAGATAATCATTCAGCCCTCACAGAGTATGGTTCTTACCCAATAGGTGTCCCTATGAGGGAGAAGACAGGTTCAGCCCATCATCTGATCCCAGAAGTTATGATGGAGTCTTCCCTCACTTATCCCCATTTTTAACTCACTTTTACACTATTTTTTTACATTTAGGTGGAGCCTGTGTGATTTTAGTCATAAATATCACTCAGTGGAAGACGGTTGTACCTTGGGAGTGGATATCTCAGTATAGTACTAGAGATAACCTTGCGATGGGGACATGTGTAACTCCAAGAAGAGTGATTGCACCACGGTTGCTGATTCAACATCAGGACATCTTCCTTTTTCTCCCTCGGATTTCAGCTGCTGTGCAGCTTATCAGCTAGAAAGTACCACTGATGTTCCTCCTCTGCAAGGGTTTCGACAGAGCCTGGCCACAGTGCCTCTGCTCTGCTCCACCCACTGTTTAGCCCCCTTAGATTGTGCTGTGTGCAGGAGGCCAGGTGTGCTGACTGTGTTCCATCCAGGGAGTATCAACCATATTTTCCCCTGTAATTTCCGTACTGTTATCCTTTTACCCCCAGTCATCTTCCTACACACCCTTCTTGCCCCGCTGATTTTTCCATATCCCAGAGGACAGAAGTTATCCCCTCCTTGGTCTCTCGTAGTCCCCTCCTCTGCCAGCTGTGTCCCACCACCACAAAAATGACTGCAGGCCATGACTGTCCAAGCTGAGTGTCCCTCTGCATTTGCCTTCCAGGGGAGCAAGAGCCCTTCACCTGAAATCATCCCACAATGCTGTGGCTGCTGCTGCTGCAGGTCTGGGCAAGCTGCCTCTGGCTGGGACAGGGCGAGGTGGTGACGTCCTTTGAAAGTTCATGTCCTCAGTTTTTCTTCCGGGAGACCCCCCCAAATGAAGCCCTGGAGCCAGAGAACCCAGCCTGGATCTGCCAGCGCTACAAGAACCAGTATTTCTTTGCCACCTTGTACGACAGAAAGGAGCGTATTCCCGTCTACTCTGCTTACATCTACGAGCCTGGACCTGGCAAACGACCTCAAGGGTGGCTGGTTGAGCCCCAGGTGAGTGTCCTCTCTTACAGCATAGCACCCTCCAGACATTAAAACATGAACATTAGTATTTAAATAAACACTTCTATTTCTTCCCTCCCCCATACACACACACAGATGTAAACGGAGCCACTGAGTGAGATTCATCTCATCTTACTACAAACACCTGCACCACATGATTCCTCTGATGTGTCTGAGGCAGCAGCAGGAGGATGAGATGAGTCATATCCCAAAGGTGCCCATCTTTCTGCAATGACCTGAGAGCAACATCAAGGCAAATTACATTACTTTGCATTACAAAATCAAATGACCTCCCTCTCTGTGCCCTGCTGTGGTGGGAGACCAAGTGAAGGGGAAAAGGCATCCAACAAGCAGCTAAATTTGAGGGACCAACAGTCCTGCTGGGCTCTGATCTCCACTTTGCCCTGAGCTCTTTTGCATCCCTGACAGAGCTTAATTTCTTACAGTTAAGAATCAAAGAGTCTTTGTAAATGACATGAGAGAACTGAGGAGAACTCAGAATTGGGTGGGATGACCTAGGGAAAAAGCCTTGGCACAGGCACTGAGTGATGAGAGGGTTTGGTGAAGCCTGGGGAATTTATTGGGTGATATTTCACAGTGAAAAGTGAGGAGCATCAGTGTCAGTCCAGTCAGAAGGGGGTGATCTCCAGCCATGGCCAGTTGCCCCTGAGCACCGTTGCCTCAGGCTTGGTTCAGAAGAATCCATCAGAAATACAAACCTCCACAAACAACAGAGTCCTCCCAAACCTCCTTCAGACAAATTTCAGACCTTCAGTAAAATAGGCCAAGGAAATTATGGAAGAGAAAGAGAGGAAATTCAGGGTATTGCTAAGGACGCAGTAGCAGACGGGTTTTAGGTCAAAATGAGCGACAGAAGAAAGCCACATGCCCTGTTCCAGAGGAAGGCTCAATATGCTTCCCTAAAGATGAAAAGATATGTGCTGTAGTTATGAAATAAAAAACCATTTCACTTGTTACTCATAGGAACTTGAGCAACTAATGTGGTATTGCACCACTGCAGCCTCCACATTTAGTAGAGATAAAAGCATGCAATCATAGACTCATAGAACAACGGTTTGAGTTTGAAGAGACCTTAAAGATCATCTCATTCCAACCTCTCTGCATGGGCAGGGCCACCTTCCACTAGACCTGGTCGCTCCAAGCCTCATCCAACCTGGCCTTGAACACTTCCAAGGATGGGGCAGCCACAGTTTCTCTGGTCAAATGGTTCTGGTGCCTCACCACCCTCACAGGGAAAGATTTCATTCTAGTACCTAATCTAACCCTTTACTCTGTCAGTTTGAAGCCATTTGCCCTTGTCCTCTCACCCAATGCCCTGGTAAAATAGCCATGCTTCTTCCCAAGTAAGGGGTAGAGAAGGAGACAAGGAGATGGGGCTGAGTCCTCATCTCCTCCTGGAAGTTCTAGGAGCACCACAGCCTTTCTGCTCATCCTCTTCTCATCCTGTCTACCTTCAAGACACCCAGCCTTCAAAGAGGATATGTGAGTCCTTGTTTTCCCTAAGCTTGGAAAGCACTTATGTGCTGACACATTGGATTAAAAAAAACATGCAAACCTTTCATAGAAACTGAGACAACTCTTGTGAAAATGGTGCTGAATGCAGAAAATGTCAAGGCAGGTGACATTGTGATTAGATGAAGGGGATTAAAGTTGGATAGTGAGAAGATGCCCAGGCAGATGTGGGATGAGGAGACAGGTGAAAAGGGAACGAGATGTGACAGGGAACATGTCTCACTAAAATGACCTTTCAAACCTAGAAAATGCTCATTGTCTCATGCATCCAGCCACACTCCCAGCACAGGCTGCAAGCTGGATCACAAAGGTCACAAGTCAAAAGGAGAGCAGTCAGACTCTGAGTATCTTTTGCCTTAAAGCTCTTGTGTTCATCCAGGAGGGGCAGCTATAGGATTTCTCTGGATTTATACATTTACATACACTGAGATGACAAAAAATGTGTTCTTGACACCTGAAGACCTCTGATCCAGGGAAACCTGCTCCATTACTCCCATCCCCAGTAGTAACACCTTTTCCTCTTCTTTACCTGCCTAGCTGATGGGCCCAACCTACCCCAAAACTATGGAAAAAGAGTGGACGCTCATAAATCATTACAATGTCAGCTTAGAGAAACTCAGCGAGAGCCAGGCTATTCTCCAAGACTACAAGAACCTGACAGGTTTGAACCGGGGCCATTTAAACCCCAATGGCCATCACTTCAACTACAGCAGCAGGATGGCTACCTTCACCCTCACCAACATAGTGCCCCAGGACGAGAAACTCAACGGCGGCGCCTGGAACAACTACGAGCAGCGAACGATGATCAAGAACACCCAGGGCTGTGACACCACCTACGTCATCGTGGGTGCTGTGCCTGGGAACAACTATATCGCCAAAGGAAGGGTTAATAAGCCCAGCTACATCTGGTCGAGTGCCTGCTGCGTGGTGGACAACAACCACAGGAAGGCTTGGGCGGTCATTGCTGAAAATGACCAGAACCAGGTCCAGCTCCTCACACTGGGGGAGCTGGAGGACACCTTGACTCAGCTCTATGGGAGGGGACAGGTTTCTCTGTTTGACAGTGAATGTCCCCGGGAATAAGCCTCACATCCTGGGTTTAAAAGGCTCAGGAGCTTTCGCCACATGTCAGAGATCACAGAATAATTTGGGTTGGAAGGGACCTTAAAGATCATCTGTCTAGTTTCAGGCCCCCTGCCATGGGGACCTTCCACTAGACCAGGTTGCTCAAATCCCTGTCCATCCTGGCCTTGAACACTTCCAGGGGTGGGTCAGACAACTTCTCTGGGCGAACTGTGCTAGTGCATCACCACCCTCACAGCCAATTTTTTCTTTCTAATATCTGATCTAACCCTGACCTCTATCAGTTTAAAGCCATTCCAAGGGCATATCACTCCATGCCCTTGTCTAATATCCCGCTACAGCTCTCTTTGAAAACACTCTAGGTACTGGAATGGAACCTAAGTTCTCCTCAGAGTCTTCTCTTCTCCAGGTGAACACCTCCAACTCTCTCACCCTGTCTCCAGAGCAGAGGTGCTCCAACCCTTGGAGCATCTTTGTGGCCTCTGGACTCCACTCCAACAGGTTTGCCTCCTTCATGTGTTGTGGCCCCAGAGCTGGATGCAGCACTGCAGGTGGGCTCTCACCAGAGCAGAGTAGAGGAGGGACAAATGTCTTGTGCATGGGCTGTAGCTGGTGATCAAGACAACTCAAGACCCCCAAAACCCTCTGACCCATTTCCAGGAAGGTCTGACAGAATGGACTGTGCATGAAAACCAATTTGCATAGGAAGCAAGAAACCTGTTTTCAGTGCAGGTAAACTTATCTGTATAAAGGTACTCACTGCCATGTGCTTATACAGTAGGTCAGGGACTAACATACCAATTTCTATGCCAAATGTGTAATTAACTAATAAAATGTTGTGAGTTTTTGAGAACTCTCTGACTTCTGTAGTTCCTTTCGACCACGAGCATTTATGAACCTTGAGTGTTCCCTTTCCCTTAAGGGGTGTGTTGTGGGCAGAATGGGAGTTTCAGACAAAGTGTATTAGAGAACCCCCCGTTGAGTTATGAGGTGCAGAAAGGACCCCTTGCTTTCTAAACTTCTCAGAGAGGAGTCTGGGTGCATCTGCATCCAATCTTAGCCCCAGATTTTGTCAATGGTTTAGGTCTAAAGGATTATAGAGGTGTAATTGAACCCTTACACGACTCTGTCCCACAAGATTGAGGATGGTAAACCAGATAGGTTTACATAAATAGAAATGATTTATCATGATAAAGATTAAACAAAAGGATCTTAATCAGAATTATTTACTATGCAGTACAGAAGCTATAACTACTAGTATGACATAGTGCACTAGGAGCACTATTGAAGCAATTATACTAAAGCAGTTACATGAAAGCTAGTAAAAGTTAGTAAATTATTAAGTAGAGACTGATGTTACCATAACAATGACCTTGGCCAAATCTCTTCTACTCAGCCTCAAGGAGTGACCTCAAGGGGCATTCCCACTCAAGGGAGGAACCTCCACACACACTCTCCAAGAAGGGCTGTGTTAGAAGACCCTGCCATTAAGAAGTGGGATTGGGCTTTTACAGTACAAAATTATGGACTGTTAGTCAGATGTCTCCAGACCAGCTGTGTCAGCTCAGCAGGTTTAGGTAATTTTTTAGTAGTATCACTTGCTTGTTCCTTTATTGAGTACTTTACCATCTTCATCTTCCTCTCAGTCTCAGGATGTTTAACTTTGGGATTGATGAATCCAGCTAGTTTCTGCATTACTCAATAGCAAGAGCAGCGTGACTCCTTCTTCTCCATTCACCACTGAGGCCGTTGTTCAAGTTGTTTTATCCCATTCCAGGCAGAGCATCCTGCTACAGGTGGAACATCACGTTTTGGCATCATGGGCAGGATGTTGTGGTTGAAGGGGTGCATGCAGGACTCCATCACTCTACCTATGAATTCTGGGCAGGGAGGGCTGGGAAGTGATCCATTGGCTGTTAAAAGCCAGGAGGGATCTGAGCAGCTGCAAGCCAAGACTGTCTGGGAAATGTCAGTGCTTGACTGCTTCCTGATTTTGTAAAAATTGAGAGAATATAATGCCTATCTGACCTCCCCAGGCATGGAATGGGCCGATGGAATTTGGTATAGCCCTGAGGCTGTGGTTGAATGGATAAATGAGATGTTAAGTGAACAAAAGGTATGAAAGGAGAAAGGTAAAGCAGATTTATACGCAATTTTGAGAGCAGCTTTAACAGCTGCCCAAAAGGAGAGGTATGCCACCAAACGGGCAGAGGGAGAAATGATTGGATCTCTGCAGGATTTGGTGGAAGGATTGCAGGATCAAATAAATGAGGAGAAGGAAAGCAGGCTTTGGGAGAAAGTGTTGCTTGCTGCTGAGCGTGACTGTGAAAGGGGGAGCAGGCTGCAGGTGCTGCAGGTACCTCACGTGCTTCTTGTGGAGATGCTCCTTGCCAAGCTCGGTAAGGAAAAGGAAAAGTCTCCAGTCAGAGGTGTTTCTCGTTGCTGAGTGTGAGAAGAGGCTGCAGGCAGAGGGGCTGCTTGCTGCTCAGTGAAAGGGAGAGTGGGTGTCAGGCGGGGGCGTTCCTGGATGAACGCGACTGGGAAAAGGGGCTGCAGGGGGAGGCACTGCTCACTGCCAAGTGCAGTCTGGGAGGCTTCAGGCGGAGCTTCGGGATGTAACTCATCAATTCAGTAATTCCGTGACCCTGGGGAAAGGAAAACAAAGAGGCCAAGGATTGACCAGAGGCTGTAAGGATTATCCCACAGATACATCCTCATGAACAGAGCCAATTACAGGAGCAAAAGATATATATATATAGGGACAAAGATGGGAAGAAGAAATACAGTGGAATGTAGGAGGAGCAGCCCAGCTGTCCTGAGGTGTGTAAACAAATTAAGCATGGAGAAGGAAGAAAATAATTACATCTTATCAGTAGGCTCCTTAATCCCCATCTTAAACAAAGTGCGTTTATGTAAATTTGCTAGCAGGTTTTGTTTGCTTGCTTTTGAAACCTACCCCTTGAGAGCAGGAGCTGAGGTATGAGATAGGCAGACTCAGCCATCAGATATACAGGAAGCTTTGACCAGTCAGATAAATTTCTCTGATACACTGCTTGGATAACTTCCTTCTCTGCTGTGCTTCTGAACCTTTTCTGCAGATTTAAGGCTAAATGATTTTGTGAAATGTCTTCAGTGTATTCAATATAATCAACGCATTCAATGTGTCAATAAAACACCAGTGTGTGCCAGATCATGTAGTTCCTGAGTAGTTCACAATAAAAATTATTTGCTCCAGTGCTGGACTGCAGGGTCATCTTATATATAAACCACCAGTTGCTTTTTGCTGAAATAACTCACAGCCCTTTTCCATCCAGAAAGTGCACAGCTCTGGACAACACGTAGCCACTGCCTACACTGACATGAAAGGCAAAGCACAAATTTCTTAAAAAACAGTGAAATGGAAAACCATGAGCTTGTAGACCCCAAGAGAATGATGAGATATCCATGGCTTCTGCTACTTCTTTGTGATTGTAGTAACCAGCTCTTTGTTACAGTATTCCTGGACTTTTGGAAGTGGAGGCAAATGAGTCCAGTTTAGTTGTGAAGGAATGAGTAGTGGGAAGGGAAACCAAACTTTTCCACTTGTCCTCAGTTTTAATTATTATGTGCAAACTTTCCTTAGTGCATCCAAAAAATGTATTGTCACTAACATAGGGATAACAGTCCTGGAATTCTGCCACGATGAGTTGGTTAAAAGCAGAGGACCAATAAGGATTGCCTGGACATCAAGCTCAGCACTTTGCTATTCTTCTTCTTCAGAAATGCCCATCACATGCTGTTTCAAACTAGAGTCATGGAATCCCATCACCCCAATACCTGGAGACTTTCTTTCAAGGGATAAGATTTTGCACTGGCAAAATGGAGCAGGATCAGACCCAGAGGGCAAAGCCAGAGCTCAAGGAGTAAAATCCTTCTGCTTCCCACTGTTGCTTTTACTGGGGTACAGGAGGAGTATCAGCTGGATCAGAGAAACCAAACCCCTAGGATTCAAGGGGATATAGGGTAAGCACAGAGCATGTAGGCTGGGGACTAGGGATCTGTGTAGAAATGAAGAATTCAAATAAAATAGTCGTGGTCCCTGCAGCTTTTAGTGCAAATGTGTACAAAATATTACCAGACTCCTTTAACTTGGCTCCAAGTGCAGCTCAAGACAAGGGACCCTTCTTAGAGTCCCTGACTTTTGTCATGCCCGTTTCTTATTCTTGGACAACAATCATTAACAACCTGTAGTCCCTTTTCCACCCCATTAATAATGATGTAAATCAGCATCTTTCCTCCAGCTTATTCCCTGTATCCATCCCCTAAAATCCCTTTATCCATTCCTAAGGGGAGAAAACTGTCTCCGTCAAACGTTCTTTCTGGGCTGATGGGATCCTGTTTGAACACAGACTCAGCAGTGGCTGTACAGTGGCAAACAGAGACTGAGATGTCCCCTCAGGATCTATAGGATGAATCATGGGATCACAGACTGGTTTGTGTTGGAAATGAACGGAAAGATCATGCCAATCCAAGCCCCATTCCGTGGGCAAGGACATCTTTCACTAGACTTCTTTGCTCACAGCCCCATCCACCCTGGTCCTAAAAACTTCCAGGTATGGGGTATCCACAGCTTCTCTGGGAAACCCATTCTTATGTCTCAACAACATGACAATAAAGATTTTATTTCTCATATCTAATCTAACTCTGCCCTCTGTCAGTCTAAAGCCATTCCCCATTGTCCTGACCCTCCATGCCCATGTCAAAAGTTCCTTTCCAGCTCTCTTGTAAAATCTTCATATACTGAAAGGAGCTCTAAGGTCTCTGTAGAGCATTCTCTTTCTCAGGCTGGTGGCATGAATAAGTGCTGTTATAAAGCCTTAGAAATCCATCAAGGAAAAATACGTAGCCTGACCGTATTAATTATATTCTGTGAGACTGCAGAAGAGCAGCTTGTGAACATCTGAGTGTACTCAGAGACAGGCCAGTTGGTCTGATGCCACCAGGGATGTTCTGCTGGGAACAGAAACGTGTGCAGGTGCTGCAACAGCAGCGGCCACGGCCCATGGGGAATGAGGAAATGGACAGGGAAGTCACCAGACCCAGTTAACTGCTCCTGACACGTGACTCTGCAAGTATGCAAATGTGGGAGAAATTCAGAGGAAACTACAAATAGTAACTCCAGGCCATGACCTGCTCGTGACCAAGTTCAGTGTGCCTCTCCATTTGCCTTCCAGGGGAGCAAGAGCCCTTCACCTGAAATCCTCCCACAATGCTGTGGCTGCTGCTGCTGCAGGTCTGGGCGAGCTGCCTCTGGCTGGGACACAGCGAGGTGGTGACGTTCTTTGCAAGCTGTCCGCAGTTTTTGTACCAGAACACCCTCACAACAAAAGGCCTGGAGCCAGAGAACCCAGCCTGGATCTGCCAGACCTTCAAGAACCAGCCTTTCTTTGCCACCTTGTATGACAGAAACAAGCATATTCCCGTGTACTCTGCTTACACCTACCAGCCTGGCCCCAGGTGAGTGTCCTCTCTTACAGCATGTCACCTCCAGTCATTAAAAGATGAACTGCAGCATTTAACCAAACATGTCTGTTTCCTCACACTCCACTACAAACACCTGCAAATGGACCCACTGGGTGGGATTCATCTCATCTTACTTCAAACACCTGCACCACATGATTCCTCTGATGCATTTCAAACAGCAGCAGCAGCAGGAGTCCTATCCCAAAGGTGCCCAGTTTTCTGCATTGACCTGAGAGCAACATCAAGGCAAATTCCATTCCATTCCAAAGTCAAAAAACCGCCCTCTCTGTGCCCTGCTGTGGTGGGACACCAAGTGATGGGGAAAAGGCATCCAACAGCAGCTAAATTTGAGGGATCAACAGTCCTGCTGGATTCTGATCTCTGCTTTGTCTTGAGCTGTTTTGCATCCCTGACAAAGCTTAATTGCTCCCAGTTAAGACTCCATTTGTCTTTGTAAGTGATG